AATATTAATCAATAACTCTCATTCCTTTTTCTTAGCTAATAAACCTTTAGTTAGTTTACTATAGAATTGGCTATCAGCATTGTCTTTGGTGTGAGATCTGAGATACAAATTGACTTGGGCGTGTGACTGGTCTCTTGGGCCTGGGTACAACTGGAATATTTTGCTATTTTTTATGTGACCATTTATCACATTGTCCTGCTTGCCCAGGTGGCAAGCAGGGGCGGCTCTATGTTTTTTGCCACTCCAAGCATGGCAGTCAGGCAGCCTTCAGCGGCATGCCTGCGGGAGGTCCACTGGTAACGCGGATTCGGCGGCATGCCTGCGGGAGGTCCGCCAGTCCTGCGCCTTCGGTGTACCCGTCGCCGAATTGCCGCCGAAGCTGCGGGACCGGCGGACCTCCCGCGGGCATGCCGCCGAAGGCTGCCTGACTGCCGCCCTCACAGCTACCAGCAGGCTGCCCCCCGCGGCTTGCCGCCCCAGGTACGCGCTTGCTGCGCTGGTGCCTGGAGCCGCCCCTGGAGGCAAGATAGACTGGAGTGTCTAAGGGGACTGTCTTTGACACCATATTAAGACTGTTACAGTGATCCAGGAGTTCACATTTGTTATTGTCTTGGTGAAATCTAATTATACACCTCTACCTCGATATAACGCTGTCCTCAGGAGCCAAAAAATCTTACCGTGTTATAGGTGAAACCGCATTATATCGAACTTGCTTTGATCCACCGGAGTGCGCAGCCCTGTCCCCCTCCCCCCCTCCCCCGCTTTACCGCGTTATATCCAAATTCGTGTTATATCGGGTCGCGTTATATCGGAGTAGAGGTGTAGAACATACCTCCAGTTTGGGATGTCTGCCCTGCTTTTGACAGTTTGCCCTAAGATAAGCACTCAAGGTACTGAGCAACTCCAGACAGCATGACAACTACCCTCATGACTTGCTGGGCATCCTTAAATTTCTTTACTGTGGAGTGGTAATTGCACTAAGGCATGTCTACACCGCTGTAGCACGGTAGCACAGATGCTTCTACAGCAATGGAAGGAGTTTTTCAGTCACTGTAGGTAATCCAGTGCCCCAAGCAGTGGTAGCGAGGTCAATGGAAGCATTCTTCTGTCGACCAACTTGCGTCTACATCTGGGGTTAGGTCAGCATAGATACTGTATTCAGGGGTGTGGATTTCCCAACCCTCAGCAAAGTAGCTATGTTGATCCAAATTTTTGAGTGTATACAAGGCCTCAGTTTCTGCTGCACTTCCTGGGTTGAGGTTTCTCCACTTGGTCCCACCAAGCTGTCTTTGCCCTTTAACTGGATTCCCCACAGATCTTTACCTTTGGCCCTTCCCTTATCTGTCTCACTCCCCCACCCTTGAAGTCTTTTCCTTCCCATTGTTGACAACAAGATGGCAAGACAATTTGTGAATGGCTCCTTTCAAGCAAAACCACCTCATAAAACTCTCTCCTTCCTCTCAAACTCCCTTCACAATCCATTGAGTATTTAGTCCCCTATGCAATAAATTCTCTCCTCCCCTAAATCAATTCTTCCCATCCACCCTGGAATTGAACTCTCCACCCAAAATATATCAACTTCCCTATTCCTCAGTCCAAAATCAGTTACTCCTTCTGGTACCTTCTAGTAGGGTTACCATCCGTCCGTATTTCCCCGGACATGTCCGGCTTTTGCGGCTCTAAATAGCCGTTCGGGAGGAATTGGTAACAAGGTTAAAATGTCCGGGGTTTTTTTCTCCCTCGCCTCCCTCCCTCCCTTCCATGCAGAGTGCGGCTGCTGATTGGGCGGCTGGGCCAATTGACCCGCTCCCATTGGCCTCCAGCGGCCAGAGCCCTCCCCTGCTCCCCCCTCCCTCTGTCTGCTGCCCTGTGTAACACACAAACCGACCCACCGGGCAGAGTATTTTGCAAACACGTGGAGCCAGAATGGTAAGGGGGGGTGGCAGTCAGGGAGCGGGGGAGTGTTGGATGGGTCCCCGGCCTCCACCTGCCAGCCCCCCTCCTTGCGTCCCGTCCCCCCCGTGGACCCCCCCCCGCCTGCCTCTCCCTTGTCTGCTGCCCCCAGGTCCTAGTGTCCCCCATCTACTAATGGGAAGACAGGCTGCCCTTACCCTGCCCTTCCACCCTAGCCCTGAGCCTCTCCAACGCCCCAAACCCCTCAGCCCCAGCCCTCATCCCCCCACACCCTAATCCTCTGCTCCATCCCTGAGCCCCCTCCTGCATCATGAACCCCTCATCCTCAGACCCACAGCCCTCACCCCTGCATCCCCTCCTATCCCCAAACCCCCTCCCCACACCCCCCTCCTGCCCTCAAACTCCCTCCCAAAGCCTGCACCCCCTCCCTTTGCACCGCCTCCCACCCCCAAACTCCATCCCAGAGCCTGCACCCCTCACCCCCTCCTGCACACCCACCCCCTGCCCCAGCCCGGAGCCTGCACCCAGCACCCAAACTCTATCCCAGAACCTGCACCCTGCACCCCTCCTGCACCCTAATCCCCAGCCCAGGACCTGCACCCCAGACCTCCTCCCCCCACCCAACCCCCCTCCCAGAGCCTTAGGCAGGTGTGTGGGGGGGGGGTTCTGGGCAACACCAAAATTTCTACAACCCTGCCACCCATGCGAGTGGATAAGGGTCGGGGCAGTCAGGGGACAAGAAGCAGGGGGGGTTAGGGTTCTGAGGGGGGCAGTCAGGGGGTGGGAAGTGGGAGGGAGTGGATTGGGGCGGGGTGGGGGCGGGGCTAGGGCGGGGCTCCCCCGTGTCCTCTTTTTTGATTGTGGAAATATGGTAACCCTACTTCTAGGGCTCAGCTCCCCTTTATGACAGCTTTGGCCTGCCTCCTTCTGCGAGCTGGGCATACCATGCAGGCTCTCTCAGCTTCTGCTCTGAACTCCCACCTCTAAAGCAAAGTGAAGGAAGTGAGGGGAAGACAGTTCACAGCAAGATCATTCCATCTACTCTGTGTGCTTCCACCTGCCAGGCAAAGGCACAGAAAAAGAAAAAAAAATCTGGCAAGTAGCCAGAAAGTTGAGCCAGAGGCTGTAAGTTTTTGCCACAAGCTGGAAAGTAGACAAACCTGCACTAAACTGGGGAATGCTAAAGTGGTTTTTTTTTTTTTTTTTTTTTTTTTTTTGGCACCAGTATAGCTCCACCAGCAGTAGCAATAATGGAAGCTGTGGGTTTAGGCAACACACAGTTAAAACACTTGTATCTTTCTACACTACAGCTTCTACCTTTGTTGCTACCCATGAAGTTGCACTAGGGCTGAAAAGAACATTTGCAAAAGTTCCTAATGTAGATAAGGCCTCAGTAAGTTCAGCTGGAATGTATGCTCACCTGAGGGTAGAATTTGTACTGATAGGGAGGGAGTCCAAGTGTCGGGGCCAATGTGGAAGAAGGTACAGAGAGAAGAGTGGGAGACTTTAGCTTTTGGGGGATTTGTCAGGCCCTGAAACCTACTTTTAAAATATTAGTACTTTCAGTGGTGTAACACACCTGCAGACAGATATAAAAGTCAAGTGGATTTGAATAGAAGAGGAATAGAGTTGGGTCCTATCCAGGTGAGACACAAAGAAAAGAGAGCTTAAGCCCCACCATGGTCCAAATTTACCCAAAATATGGGGTTATATTGTTTTTCTGATTTATATTTCCCTTGCCTAAAGCCTGCTTTTCCACCTATAACAAAACACTGGTTTCTCTGTGACATTTGAAAAAACAAACATTTATTTTCTCAAATGCCACAGAAAAAAAAGCGCATTTTTTCTAAGAAGAAAATCTGACTCTCATTCTCACCACTACAGGCAGATCTTTCACAAATGAGGCTTGCAACAGAATGAACTTCCTTAAAACTGATCCCAGTTCCCCAGTTACTGTGGGCTGGTCTAGACATAGTTTTGGCACTGATCAGGGCCGGCTCTGGCTTTTTTGCCGCCCTAGCCAAAAAAGCCACCCGCCGCCTCGCCGAGGGCCCGCAATCCCCAACCAGCCCGGAGCGCTGGGGGGAGGGCGGAGAGCCCGGCCAGGGTCTCCGCTCTCCCCGGCGGCCAGAGCGCCGGCGGGAGGGCAGCGAGCCTGGCCGGGGCCCTGCCATGCCGCCCCCCTCCAGGAGCCGCCCCAAGCACATGCTTGGTGGGCTGGTGCCTGGAGCCGGCCCTGGCACTGATTCAACTAAATTAATATAGCAACCAATGTAGTTAAATTAATTAAATCCCCTGATGTGGATGCAGTTATCTTCTTTTCTGATTTATGTAAGTGTTTATATTAATTTATACTGCATTAATACATTTAGTTAAATTAATGCAAAAACAATGTATAGACCAGTCTTAACCCTCAGTGGAGTCAGACTTTGGGGATGGGGAGGACATTGTTGCCAAATCTCATGAGTTTCACAATATTTACTCTTTTTCTTGGAGCACCAACTCTAGCAGCTGAGAATCTTAGCTTTCCTTTTTTTTTTTTTTTTTTTTTTTTTAAAGCAAGTTTCTAATCCTCACGATTGTGGAGAAAAGCGTGAAAAGGTGACCTGCATGAACCTTAGAAACTAAGACAACAAAAGGAACCCGAAACTATTTATTACTTATTATGGAATCCCTGTTGCATGGAGGTTTTTAAGAACCGGTTAGACAGACACCTGGCAGGGATGGTCCAGGTTTATGAGCCTACATTAGCGCAGGTGGCTGGATTTGATGACCTCTCAAAGGTCCCTTCCAGAGCCACATTTCTATGACTCTATTATTTCTACAAAGCTCATTATTACTAAACCAATCTCATGATTTTGGGGGGCTTGGCTCATTGTTTTTGACCCCTGGGGGTTGGCAATATTGGGCTGAGCACCAGCTGCGGGGCTGAGTCTGGCTTTCCCCGGGGCTCTGGGAAAACCGCTGCCATTCAGGGAAGAAGCAGCTCCCTGACAAGACTACATTTCCCATCATCCCTCAGCCCCCCCTAAGGGGATCGCTACAAACTCGTCGCCTTCTTGAAAAACGCGGCGCCGCGATTTCACAGCGAGGCAGTGACCGCACGGAAAGCTCCGCGCGTTGGGGGCCTCGGTAGCCCGACACCCGCGGGACACGTGAGGAGCGGAAGTGAAAAGCGCCCCGGTTCGGCACTGTGCGTCCTACGGAAATGGCGGATGGTCCCTAAAGAGCAGCTGGGCTGCAGGGCCGGGAGCGAGCGGCCTGGGCCATGAATGCTCCGGGCGGGGGCTGGGACGGGGCCTGCGGGGGCGTCCGGCTCCTCCTGGACCTGTGAGTGGCTCGGACCGCGCCCCCTCCCCCGCCTGTTATACCTCCCACCTCCTCACTGCCCCTGGACCCGTGTGTTATGCCCCCCCCCGCGTTATACCCTCCTCCCCTTATTGCCCCCTGTGCGTTATAACCACCCCCAGCTCTTACTGCCCCTCCCCCCCGCCTGTTATACCTCCCACCTCCTCACTGCCACTGCCCCTCCCCCTGCCTGTTATACCTTCCACCTCCTCACTGCCCCTCCCCCTGCCTGTTATACCCCCCTTATTGCCCTTGGCCCTCCCTGCACGTTATACCCTTCTCCCCTTATTGCCCCTGTGCGTTATACCCTCCTCCCCTTAATTCCCTCTGCACTTTATATCCCCTGCCCCTTATTGCCCCCCATGCTATAACCCCCCAGCCTCTTCATGTCCCCTGCACTTTATACCCCCAGACCCTTAATGCTCTCCTGCATGTTATATCTACCCCCAGCTCTTATTGCCCCAGACCTCCTTCATGTTATACCTTCCCTAGCCCCTTATTGCCCTCCCCCATGTTATATTCCTCAGCCCTTATTGTCTTCCAGTGACCTAGCATTGGCCACACCCAGGCTTAGGTCGGTTTAACTGTGTTGCTCGGGGGGTGGATTTTCATATCCCAGAGCGACATAGTTATATCAACCTAGTTTCCCAGTGTAGACCAACCCTTAGTTACATACCATACCTTATCCAGTTATGCTTGTAGTGATAGCAATAAATCAGTTTACATATTTTTTCTTAATACATCTGTTTGCAAGAGCCAATCGCACAGCTCTTCATACCATTCCCTTTCTTACATGTAAAACTACCGCTGCCAGGTCCGCATTATATCTAACTGTGGCTTCCCAAGCAGTAATTTCCCACTTCACCTTTGACCTAGCCATAGAGCCTTATGGGACTCTGATTCAGTTTGGTCAACTTGCTGAGTGAACATAGCATAACATCTTGCGCTTCCTCAATATGTTGGCATCATTACCAGTTCAGCATACTGAGCACTGGTCTACTCTAGAATTTGCCAGTACAGTAATGTTTCTTAGGGGTGTGATATATATTTGTCCTGGTAAAAGCCTAATTTAGATACAGTTATACCATCAAAAAAGTGTTTTTGCTGGTATATTATATTTTGTTTGGGGGACTGATATAAGCACACTCTTGCGGGTGTGACATTGTGCAGTCTATATGGTTTTATAAAAACATGATAATAAGTGAATATAATGTAACTGGAATAGTTTTAGAAAAATATGGTAATAAGTGAATATAACGTAACTGGGATATGCTTCATGCAAAAGGTCTCTTGTAAGGTATCATTACAAAGCTTATAATCTACTGAGTGTGATCATCCTTTTTGTATAAATGTACCACTCTTGTATCTAAAACTAGAAATATGAAATATAACTCTGAGGGCCTATTGTAATTATGCAAAGTGTGGGCCATTAATGGTGGTTTGGAATCTTGATGACTCCCATTAACCAGGACCATTGTCTGCAGATGGCTGTGTTTACCTGTTAGTCTTCCTGTATATGTGTGTGCTGGCAAGTGGGCAATGAAGTCTTGCAGTGACATGTGATCATGTCACCTGACCTGGAATCCATCTTTAACCTGGTGCTTTTCCAGTGAGGGGGGGTGGAAACCCAGAGGGACAAAGGGTTCCCGCCTTATGCAAAAGATATATAAAGGGGTGGAAGAGAACAAGGGGGAGAGGAGCCACCATGAAGAATCCTCTAGCTATCACCTGAGCTGGAACAAGAGCTGTACCAGGGGAAAGAATTGTGCCCAGGCCTGGAAGGTGTCCAGCCTGAGAAAAAACTTACTGAAGCATCTCTGAGGGTGAGATTATCTGTATTCAGTTTGATTAGACATAGATTTGCGCATTTTATTTTATTTTGCTTGGTGACTTACTTTGTTCTGTCTGTTACTACTTGGAACCACTTAAATCCTACTTTCTGTATTTAATAAAATCACTTTTTATTTAGTAATTTACTCAGAGTATGTATTAATACCTGGGGGAGCAAACAACTGTGCATATCTCTCTATCAGTGTTATAGAGGGCGAACAATTTGAGTTTGCCTTGCATAAGCTTTATGCAGGGTAAAACGGATTTATTTGGGTTTAGACCCCATTGGGAGTTGGGCATCTGAGTGCTAAACACAAGCAAACTTCTGTGAGCTGTTTTCAGGTAAACTTGCAGTTTGGGACAAGTGATTCAGACCCTGGGTCTGTGTTGGAGCAGACGGGAGTGTCTTGCTCAGCAAGACAGGGTGCTGGAGTCCTGAGCTGGCAGGGAAAACAGAAGCAGCAGTAGTCTTTGCACATCAGATGGCAGCTCCCAAGGGGGTTTCTGTGATCCAACCTGTCACAGCGGGTATAAGCTATGTCCATGCTATGAGGACTTGCTGGTACAGCTCTTCCAACAAGGCCTGTCTAGTATAGGCAAAGGCTTAGGCCTGGTCTATGCTACACAGTTTTGTTGGCAAAAGGCAGCTTTTGTCGTCAAAACAGCAGAGGTATACACACTACAACGCTCCTCCTGCTGACAAAACTCTCCTGCTTTGCTGACAAAAGAAAACCACATCAACAAGAGGCATAGAACTTTTTGCGGCCAAGTTAGATCGACAAAGCATCAGTGTAGATGCTGCGTTCGTTACACTGCAGTAACTGACCTCCAGGAGATATCTCACAATACCCACTGTGACCCCTCTGCTCACTGTTTTGAACTCCGCTGCCCTGCATCCAGCTACATGGTCATGCGCCCCTCCCATTTCAAAGCCTCAGGAAGTTCTGAAACTGCTCAGCATGGAAAGCTCACATAGGACCACAGCAGCAGGCAGGGCAGGCTGCTGTTACAGGGGTTGGGGGGAAGACTGCTATGCAGTGCATAGCTGGGGAGGGAGGCAGGGGCTAATGTCAGGATTTCCCCCTCCCACTGCCGGTGTACTGATCTCTGCTGAGCTGGGATGGGGGACAGGGGAACACCAGCTATCTGTGCACCAGCTTCTGCCTCAGGATTGGTTATGTTGGGGTTACTAGGCCTATATATGAGCCAGAGTTCTTCCATGTTTAAACTCTGTCCTTCCATGTTTAACTCTAATCGACCTCAAGAGCCAAGGACAGGAATTGGAATGTGTAAATAGCTAGTTATCAATTACAACCCCCCCTCATACCAGGTACCAAGCAATAATGATGAGGTTTGCATGTTTTTAGCTGGAGAAGGGGTAATAAACTAAGAGTAAACAGAACCAAATAACTGTTTAGAGGAATGTTACTAACAAGCTAGATTTATAGCCCTAGAATGATTTAACGGCTTAAATGTATAAACATGCCTTCGGTAGAGAGGGGAGGGGGAGTAGAGGGGGAGGGGGGGGCTTAGTTGTGAAAAGTATAAGAGGAGAGAAACTGTTTTTGCTGGTGTGCTCGATTTGAGACTTGCCTGTCTCCTTGCACCACTTTGAGATCTCAAATAAACTTTGATTGTTTCTCCACCCCGGTATGTTTATTGGCGCCAAGCACGCCGGGCAACGAACCCCGCTGTTGCTGTCCTCGGGCCTCTGTGTCTGCAACAGTTACTTCTGGTTGCAGTCTGAACTTAGAGACAGCATGCCGGCACAGTCACTCTCCCCCAACATACACACTCTTTCTTTCTCTCTCACATACACACTCCCCCTCTACAGTCTCTCACACTCCTCCAACACACACACACACTCTCACACACACTCTCTTTTTTTTTCTCTCTCACACACATGCACACACTCACTTCAGTGGGCTTCTTGTGTTACTGTTCAGTTATATTACCGAGTGCTACTTTAAAAAGTGATTTAAAATGTGTTACTTTTTGGGTGCACACAGCAATCATTACAAGGTTCATAGCATGGTGCAAACAAATAACAGGCTCAGCACACTACAGCCACACACATTACTGTGGCTCAGTGTTAATATGCTCCTTTAAGGCATCTCCCAGCCGCATAGCGCCCCCCAGTTGGGTTCCTCTTATAGCTTTGTGTTCATAATGCACAGCACAATACTGAACAGCAGTGCAGGATCCATGCTTTCTGACCGAGATGGTTGGGTTGCAGGTTACCAGGGCAGTTGAAAAGTGCCCATGGAATGATGGGATTGAGAAACCTTCATCATGTGATGCTGTACCTGGCCCCATGAGGCATTGCAAACCCTTTCCAAAGAACCCTGCGGCCAGTTGCACAGTGGGATAGTTACCCACAGTGCACTGCTCTCTGTGTCAATGCAAGAGCTGCTCTTGTGGGTGAGCTCCACTGACACAAGGAGCATAGTATGGACATGCTACAGCGGTGGCTGTATGTCAACGTAACTTGCATCGACAAAACTCTGTAGTGTAGAGGAGGCCTAAGTGTGGATGCTCAGGCTGTGTCTGCACTTAAAATGCTAGTGGCATGGCTTCAGAATAGATACTTACTACAGTGACAGGAAGGGTTCTCCCATTGCTGTAGTAAATCCATCTCCCTGAGAGGCAGTAGCTATATCGGTGGAAGAATTCTTCCGTTGATGTACCACTGTGTACATTAGGACTTAGGTCAACTTAACTACATCGCTCCGGGGTATCGATTTCTTTTTTTCTCCAGGCTGTTCCTGGAGCTCCACTGTTCCCTGCACCAGCATAGATTGTTGATTCAGTAGACCTTGATGTTCATAATAAAGAAAAACCACAGCTTGGTTTGGTGGCAAAGGCTTGGCTAGGTTTATTGTCAACAAAGCACCATCTCAGCATCCCGTATAGCAGGGTTACGAGTATGCTGACACATGTATGCTAGTGATAAGGTATCAGTTCAATCAACATAGCATTATCCCTTAGGAGGAGTAGCTTTGTATTAGCCTATTACTTTCCTGTTATGCATTCATACAAACAAGTTACATATTACATTCCAGATGTTATTAGTTACCATCCTTGTACGCGATAATTTGAACAAAATCTCCTCATCCATTATCCCAGTGGTTCTCAAACTTATTTGATCGTGG